AATTCCCCAGCCGGCTGGGGAATTCTGGGAGTTGAAGTCCACTCATCTTAAAGTGGCCAAGTTTGGACAACACTGATCTAATAGAAAGTTTAAGGAGCAAAAGTGAATGGAACCGTACAGTTCATGGTTAGTCTTGGATGACATGATTGGGCCTTGCTCGTACAAATTAGCATCTCCAAAGGGAATGCACATTTCTGTCTTTCCACTTCTTGTCTTGGACCAGCCCTGTTCCCAACACATTTATTCAGATGAATTAAAACTCTAGCTGCTGCATTTGTCCAACGTGCTAAATGCAATTGGTTTTACTGTTAGATAAGGCTTGGACATTTTTAGTGGGAAACTCAGCATGTTGTACAGGCTCGTCCCATTTGGGTATGGTTCAGAAATATTTCACGGACCCAGAAAAAGGTCCCCCGCCTTGGGGCTGGAGTGAGTCTCTATCAGACCCCCTGCAAGAATATATGCAGAGGGAAACAGGGCAGGTGCTGAAAACCGAGGGAACAGGGAGTTGGACTGCATTAGAAAGGACCAAGAGGTGGAGTTGCTGAATGTTACCCAAAGGGCTGGTACAGAGCTACCGGTGTGTGCGTGTGTAAACCCAGACATCCTAGCCTTGAAAGCCAACACGTACAAAAGGAAGCTCCAGCCCAAAAACCTTTGAAAGAAAGAGCACTGAACGTGCAAAGCCACAGAATGGAGAATTCCTTCAACGGCAGGGGCAACTCATACGACCCGGCAGCAAAGGGTCAATCGCGGGACGGGTCTACGGTGTCCTGACCGCTAGTTTGGACTTGCCCGATGGCAGCAATTGCTTTATGGCCTCCACGTTGCACTGTTGCTCAGTATACGTGTACGGTACGAGAAAGAGTCGGTGTTGGCCAGCAAAGCAGATTCAAATAAGCCTTAGGGCCACGGGCATCAGAGCGCCAGCTGCTTTGCCTTCTGGCACAAATATTGCTTTGACATTAGCTAAAACCTCTCCACACCACAGGAGACTTTTTTAATGAATGGCAGGATAAGGGTTGTGTGGCAAGAACTTGCTTTCTGCATTCCAGATGTGCCCCCTCGGGCAGCTATAGTAAAAGGGGCTGCTCAGGGACCAGGGCCTAATTAAGTGGGACTCTTGTGCCTCCCCCTAGGTGGACAATGATTTGCCTGTGCATCTGAAAAGGGGGACCACCGATGTCGTGCTGTATCGCATCACCATGGCCATCGCAACCTTGGGTAAGTGAATTCGAGCATCCCCCAGCATCGCTTTGGTGCAGGAAGGTAGGGGGCCTGTGTGTGTGTGGGGGGGGTTGGTCAGAAGAATCAAGATGGTGGGCGTGACTGCCATCTTGACGTTTTGACACCCTCTGCAGACTCCCCTGGGAGACGTCCAGCCCAGGTTGCAAGGAGGATCCCTCAGCCTCCCTCCCTGGAGGAAAGAGGAACTCAGGGTGCCTCGCAGATTCATCTCCCCTGGAATTGAGGAGAGCAGAAGGACATGTCTATCTAGCCCTGCTTTGGGTCGTGGGGAAGGCAAAGAAGGGGTTCTGCTGATCCTGTCCTCTGGCAAGAGCAGTACTTGAGCTCTTGCTTTTCCCAAGAGAGCACAGACAGATCCGAAACAAAACAGCCCTTTTCATGGTGACAATCAGGGGTGTCTGCAGGGTGGGATCAAAACGTCAAGATGGCGGCCACGATGGTGCAATCGGAGCTTCGCACGTTTGTCCTGTGCATCATGTCCCCTGCAGACATGCCTGCTGGCCGCCCAAAATAGAAGTTGCACACTTCCCCTTGAGGCAAGACCAAAGGAAGTGTGGAATCAAACGCAATGGTAACAGATGGGCACCCCCTGCGGAGAACTTTCTCCTTTTTTAAGGAAACATGCCAAAAATAATTTGGGGATGTGCAAAGTCAGGACGGTGGGCTGTGTTCCTCAGTTAGCTCAGCTGTTGTCCCCAACATGTTGCCTTTGGCTGCGAATGATCAGGAAATCAGAAACAGAGTCCTACAAGACGAGACTGAGGGAACATCTTGATAGGCTTCGCTCTAAGGCAGGTTCAGTTGTGCTCCTCAAATACCCGAAGGGTTGTCAGGCAGAAGACCTTGAGATGTTCTTTATCGGTCCAGCAGCTGGATGCAAAGTAATAGCCTTAAGGGTCAGGAAAACAGTATGTGTTTCTCAGCCTTGAGAACTTGAAGATAGCTGGACTTCATGATGGCTGGGGAATTCTGGGAGTTGAAGTCCGGACATCTTCAAGTTCTCAAGGTTGAGAAATACTACCCTAAGTGAATGTTAGGGGAAAAATCTTAATAGTAAGATTGATTTAGGAGTAGAACCAGTTTCCCCTCCAGATCCTGGGATGTCTTCAAGCAGGGATAGTCAACCATCTTCTGGGGATGCATCCATTTGTATTTCGGCTCTAAGCAGGGAGCAGCCCCTATTTATACCCACACCCGCCTGCACACCCCTTCTAGCAATTGACACTGACATTCTCAAAGGGTGTACTGTTTAATGTAGGATGCAATGAAGTGTAGATTTCTTACCCTGAATAGTGGAAATTGTTTTGCGATTAAAGATAGGTCAAAATGAGGAGTATTTGTCCTTACAGTTACCAGGAGCTGGATCCAACTTGATGGCATCTAATTAACTAGCATATATACCAGTGTTCCTCAACCTCAGCCACTTTAAGGTGGGTGGACTTCAACTCCCAGAATTCCCCAGCCCACACATGGGCTGGGGAATTCTGGGAGTTGACATCCACCCATCTTAAAGTGGCTGAGGTTGAGAAACCCTGATATCTACCCTCCCATCTCTTGATTCCACATAGTTATACAGTAGGAAACTCCAGTTGTTCAGAAAAGATTGATTTCTTAGTCAACATACAGAGAGCCGTCCCCTTCAAACCGTGGGTCTTGGAACGTGGCAGAAGCCACTGCTAAAACCTTCAGCTCCAGGAGGATGAAAAGCATCTCCAGAGAAACTGGTTGACCCTGGTCAGCTGGATCGGTGCTGTACTTTCAACCAAGTCTCAATGCGTTTGGCCATCCAAACTTTCTTGCAGCTTTCAAGCTGGCAAAGGCATTGCTGTTTTACTGTGAACCGGAATTAAAACAGGAGCGCGTTGTCCAACTCAGGGTGTCCGCAGAGCGTGGTCAAAAAAGTCAAGATGCCTTGCGCATATATAGCAGGCAGAGCTTCAATCACACCGTCGCAGCCCCCGTCTTGAGTTTCTGTGACACCCCCTGCAGACCCCCCCCCCCGTCTTTAGCAATGCCCTTCCTCCATTATCATGGTTGCATTCAGCAAAGGGCCCCGGGAGGGTTAAATGAGATTCCCTTCTGTAGGCCGGTCCCGTGGCATTGCTTTCTGCTCGGCCTCAGCAGGGATGGGGGACTGTCAATTTCTGTTCCCCTTGAGTAGTTCTCCTCCTGACGGCGATGAGGATGAAGAAATGACAATTAAACCCTAACCCCAGTGGGACAAGAGGTGACTCTCAGGGCACTTCCATTGCAAAGCCAGAGACGGGACACCAAGCTGGACTGAGGGACAACATGAGAAAATGATACAGAAACAGTGGAAGTTTGGGCCGTGGCCCCGTCCTCTGTGAAAGGGGGAGGGAGAAAAAAAAGGGGGGTTCCCCAGAGAAGCGGGTTCGTGTGAAAAGGATTCACGCCACAGCCACATTGCTTCAACTCACAGCACTTTTACGTATAGCCTGCATACACACACACACACAAACGCGCACACACCCACCCGTAACAGAAATCCAGCTCCTCCCAGTTCAGGGGTTTGGGCTCAGCGGAAAAGGCCAGGGGGCCCCCAGGGGGCTTTTCTCCCCAGCATCTCTGAGGTCCGAGCAGAGGGGTTGAGCCGCCACGCCAGTCCGCTCAGCCGGCTTCTCGACGTTCTTCCCCAGCCACCAGCTACGCCGTCTATTCCTTGTACCTCCTTGGTCAAACCCC